AGCTATGAAGTTCCTCTACAGTGTCACCATCTTCCTCTTGGGTCTCCTCTACGTGCCCTCTGTTGCCCACTCGGCCGCCAATACTTGTCGAGATTTCAGTAATAGTGGAGAGTTTCCCATGCTGCTCATCACGAATGGGCAGCTCTACACTCCGTCACCCAGAGGTCGCGCCATGCTTCTCACGGGAGGGGGATCCATAAGCTCCATTCTCCCAAAACTACCCTTTGTGCAATCTCACCGGGTTGCCTGTGAGAGCAGTGGATGCGGCAGGTGGGTTTGAAGTGCCTGGATTGATCGACATTTATGAGCACGTCACGGGAGGAGGAGGGGAGATGGGTCCTGCCAGTCGCACCCCCGACGCTACTGTGGAAGAGCTTGTTGATTCTGGGATTACGATTTTTTTCTGACAATCTGCCCGAGAGTGCACATCATGCGGGACCCCATTTTTTTTGTTACACACTAAATCACAAAAGCCACTATTTGGGACAAAAACATTAATGAAGTTGTCAGATTCCTAATACCGTATATATGCTATTGTCAAGAACATGGGGTATTCTTGATATTTTGACATATTTGAGGGGTACATGTGATATTTTCCCAATATTTATGATTTCAAGCTTCTCGATGAATGAGAAGACTCACAATCGATTCAGAAATTTCTGGTGTTTTCCAACAGGGCCATCGTTATTTGGAGTATCAGTTGGAGACCTGCAGCGATGTGGTGCCTGTCTAAGAACTGTAGGATATGGAACTTGGAAGCATGAGGGGGTTTGAAGACCCTATGCTCACAGGATAGGATTCAGTATTCCTGGGTGACATGACATGGGCATCAAGATGTCGATCAACCAGCTTTGACTCAGTTTTATTGCTACAACGCAAGCGTGCATCATAGAGTTGTCACTTTCACCTTTCCGAATCCATATCCAATCTGGAATGACGACATGGTCTCGAATACTGATACCTGGGTTGAGATATTACATTCCATTTATTTCGTACATGACAAGAAAAATATCTGCCAGCACCGCTCCATCTGCGCAGAAAATTCCCATGTCACAATTTCTGACTTCCTACCGTATCCAAAACAAACAGCTGGTCCCGCAATGGATTAAGGTTCCGTGATGGTGGATACAACTCGCGTTACAATCTAATCGACTGTCACCGTGCTACGGTCCCGTAGCACAATCCGTCGGCAATCCTTTTGACTCAACAATGGACCACCAACATGTTGCAGAGGAAGTAGCGATGGTCATTGTGACTGCAGGTGGGGCTAGAGAAACTGGTGGGATGCCAGCTCTGATAACAATGCAGTACATTTCTGACATAAAAAAAACACCATCGATAACTCTTCGTGTTTCTACTTCGATGGTCTCGATCAGATCTGGGAGCTTAGCACATTAAAAAAATAAATAAATAAATAAATAAAATGCTGACTCCAGTTCGAAAACCCATGCATGATTGTGCACACAATGAGACGTGATTCTGAATTGAATCCGAGGAGGCGAAGCAAACGATGGGCGATTTTATTATTAGAATCCTATAATAACAAGATATAGTTCTGTGAATAATAATCTCTGTATGTATTGATTTTAATGATAAAGTCCGACCGGCTTTATACTGCTACAGATGGTGCAGCCTTAAACGGCGCGACCCCTGCGTAAGGAATGTTCGGCTTAGATTCTCGCCATATAAGCGGGTTGGTTACTTTGCTCAAACGGCTTTCTAATATTTATCTCACCTGCTTGCGTCATCTCTCGACTGTGCCTAACTTGTTTTAATCCGTTTCAAAACTGAATATCTCTTCGGTTTATACTGTGGTTGTGGCACCGGCAGCAGTCGCAGCGAATTTGTAGTGCTTTCGTCGCATCCGATTGGAAGTACACTGTAACATTAAACGGGTCTTTGATACATTATTTTAAAAAACATTTGTTTAGGATTTTAGAATTTTGTGAAGTTTTTGTTGGGGTTTTAAGCTCATGCACCAACCATCATTAATGGGCACGTATTTCTGATAATTTTGTCTCTGAAGTATTCTAGATAGCACCAATTCTAGACAGCAGAAAGTATACTATTGACGCTTTCCTGTGTTTTTATCACAGATTTAGGCTTTATTGAAAAAGTTGTGTGAAGTTCTGTGGTATATATACAATTGGGAAAACAAGTAACATGCCATTATTATGAGTTTTTACTTAATTTTTCTCCTTTCTGTAAAAAATGAAGTGAGATTGAATGAATTTTCAATAAAAACAGAATCAGACATATCAATAATGTTGTAATAAAGAAACATGGTTATATATATCAAATGCATAAAAATACTTGTTTTTGGATTATGTCCAACATAGTGTAAAAAAAAAACTCAATTTTGGTTGGTTTTATTTGAAAATGTATAAGAAAATATAATTGTATCTCCTATATGGTTGATATGGGTAACCCATATAAAAGATATGTGTACCCATCTGTTATGTGTACTCCATAAATTGGCAGGCAAATTTGTTTTCTTTCTTGTTGGTATGTATATGCATGTGCATGATGATATTTTTATATTAATACGAACTTGAGTGGTAGGTAGTCAAGGGTTGCAGTTTTGTACATCAAACCATGTATAAGAATGTTTCTTTATTACAACATTATTTTAGACTTTTTAATTATTTTTGTTTAATAGAGAATAAAATATTATAATGCATGCATATATCTATATAAATACATATAATTATTCTTAATATTACTATGAAATATATGTATAATGATGTAGTTATTTATTACAAACAATTCTTATGTAGAATCTATTATATAAGAGAGCTCGGATATAACATGAATCTATACGAAACAAATAAGTCTTCTGATTGGTTGTGAAGAGGGGAACGAGGGGAACTCAGGGAACAAAGATTGAACAAGGAAATGAATGGATTTGCTAGAGACAGTCCCCAATGGCATATGTTTCCACTACATTATTTATATATACACACAGCCATAAGAATATATATATATATATATATATATATTCATGCATGCATAAATGACTTCAACTGGAAAACATCAAATAATGTTGGAAAGAACAAAGTTTTCTTATTCTTAAATTATGAAATTCTTTAGGAAAGGTCACTTTATTATTGAACCGGAAGTTGACCAAATTATAAATTATTTTAATCATAAATCCGTAAAATCTACGTGCACTGAAAGAGTGGTCCCGTGTTCCCTTATGTGGGGAACGTTTGAACCCATCGGGAAGGCACTGGTTGTGCTTCACAGACAGCATCACAGCGAGCGAGTTCCCAGAATAGAGAACGCATGCGAAAGTTGGAACGGAGATATTAGAGCTCCCAAGGCGTAGGCACGGGCTTTGCCATTGAAGACCCTGTTCCCCATAGCTGTTCCCTGCGAACCCGGGCAGAAGGGCAGCCCCTGATATGCCCGCTCTGCCAAGCGTGGCCCTCAACCATGCGCGTTTCGTTTTCTCTTTCCTAATCAGGAACAAAAATCTCGGAGTATCTTAGCACAGTGGTTTTCGCCATGTTGTTATTTTTTAATGGTTTTTCGGGGGGTTTTGATTGGCTCGGGTCGAAGTGCAGAATGTCGCATTAGGGTTGAATATAGCTTTACCTTGATAGCAACGCTCTCCCTCTCTCTCTCTCTCGCTCTATTTGTGGGGCATGCTCGTGGAGATTACTGTTTCAGTTCTAGCTACATACAGCACATTTGGTTGTAAATAAACATAAAGCAAGAATGGAAGAAAGCAGGAAGGAGTTTTAAAGTGTGGGTGTGACTTCGCGGAGCTTGAGCACCTGCCATGTGCCAGCAAGCACGGAGTGGATGTATGTCTGTGTGGCAGGAATTCGGCAAAGGGCCGGATCTGAAGGGCCGGCTTTTTACTAGGCTTGTGGCAAACAGTGGGCATGCGAAATAGCGTTACCGGGAATAATATCCTCCTTGGTCGCGGAAAAAAATAGCGTGATCCGTTGTGGTTCTGAACACTTCCCCTCGTGATTACCCACGTTGGTAAAATTGCAGAATGCTGAACTAAATGATATGGCAAACAACCAAGTTGACCAGCTTGTCCCCCACGAAGATCGGTCTGGAGGAGAGCCCAAGACCATTCGCACTGGATTCATCCCCCTCGAGTTGTCTGGATTCTTTCGGTCATGGTCGCCTAGATGAAATTGACCCTCCTACCATTACACTTTCGATTACACAGAGTGGGGCCGTTCCAATTTCGATTGGCTCCATCGACCGCGCTTATGAATGAGGGAATTATGACGATTGTCGTTGGGGGAACATCGGCTCTGGCGGATGCTAATTGGCCACCAGATCCCAGTGGGTCCCTGAGTTCGTCATTAAAAACGCACTTATGCTCCCAATCCCACCCGTTAGACTGTCACACCGTTGCTGCGATGCAAGCGGGGATGGAGGAATCGCTTGGCTTTCCTGTGACCGGGTTGACTTATCCCTGGAAAATGGTTTTCAAATCTCAAATGTGCATAGCCTGCTCTGCGATAAATGCAAGCCGACGTAGGTTTCGACGTCAATTTCCTCACACTTGCCCATTTCTGAGCACTAGAGTGTAGCAGGCCTAAACTCAGGCGTTACCTTTTTAGAGCCAGTCAAGCTTCGCTGTCTGGAGAATTTCTGTTGCAGCTTCCAATTTCCCCAAAGAAGGATGACGCTCCGGGTTATCATGCAGAAGTTTGATTCCACAGATGCATTCTAGTAGTCGGCCTTTCCTCAGATTCTTTTATCTGATTCTTCACTGAAAGGTTAAAACAAATCGTCCTCGATAAATCCTCTTCGGCCAATTCAGCTGCCCATTGGTGTGCGGCCGGAATTATGTCGATGGAATGTGGTAATCACTGGCGGTAGGTTTGCATTTTAGTTCTGACGAGATGCGGAGCGCTGGTACAATGTCGACCGAATCGTGCTCGCAAGTAGCGAGTTCGCAGTTTCGCCCTTGATTTCGTTTATTCACTGTGTGAAAGTGTGGGGTGAGCTTCCGATGTCTTTCTGCTCTTGTTGCTTGCCTCTGGGCCATCCAGTATGAGCCCGTGCGTGAGCATCGTCTGCGGTTTGCCTGGGTTCCTGGTGACATGGGTCCATGGGCATGTTGCCTGGTACAAATGGGACCTTCTATTCTTTTTGTTTCTTTAAACGAGCTCCTCACGTTAAGCTCGAGCCTCGAGCTTTAGAATGGAAGTTGGCTCCGTGTCTCTCACCGTCTCGGACTCTTGGAGCCCTTTCATCTCGGTGTGTTCCGGTGCTGCACCCCACACGCTGTATATCAAAGCTTCTTTGTTTCTAAACTGCTCCTAAGGATTGTTTTAGGTTCTAACGCGAATGAAGTTCTTACTCATGCTTTGCTATCAGGAACACCAGTCGTAGTAACTCGCAGCATTGACGAGAGTCTAGCTGTAAGAACATCGTTACCTTTCGTTCTTTCATGAACGAGCTTTTGGATATAGTGGATTTCATTCTGGTTGATCAGTGTTTCATAAAATCAGGTTAGCAATTACGCATTGCTTTTGTTCTTCGCAGCTAAGGTCACGCTACACGCAAGCTGTCGAGGATATTCTAAGGTGAGTGATAGCCTTGGCTGCAGGACAAAGAACTCCATCAGTGTCACTTGTTTTGAGGGAAATTCAGGCACTCCACTGATCGAAAGCCATGGCGGGTGATAAATTGACGAAGGAGGACCTGGAGATTGGAGACGAGAGTAGAGATGTGCACCCGAGGGCCTTGTCCAATGCGGGGTCGCGGCAACAGTCGATGTCGCGGAGCATGCGAGGAACAAGCGCCGGACTCTCGGCCAGCTTCTCGCGATCCCAAGGTCTCGGTTACTTCGGCGGCTCGAATCCTTTCGAGGCGGCGACCATGGGCTCCACTCATGAGCAGGACGAAGAGGCCCTGAAGTGGGCAGCTCTGGAGAAGCTCCCCACGTTCAACCGCCTGCGAACCTCCATCTTTGAGAAAGATACTGGTAGCATCCGTCACATTGACGTGGAGCACCTGTCGTCTCACGACATCCACCATCTGCTGACCAAGTTCCAGAAAGTTACGGACGACGATAATGAGCAGATCCTTGCCAAAGTGCGCAAACGCCTGGACAAAGTGGGAATCGACCTGCCCACGGTGGAAGTTCGGTACGAGAATCTCAACATCAAGGCGAATTGTCACGTCGGAAACAGGGGATTGCCAACGCTTTTGAACGTCGTACGAGACATAGTGGAGGTGATTCCCGCGCCTCGTTTCAAAATTGTTGACATCGTCTGTTGGAAGTGCTTGGTTATGGATTATCGCTTGTGCAACACCCCGTCAATTTCGAATGGAATCTTCTCACGTTCAGGTTCTGTCTCGTTTGTTGTGGCCAGAGCATCCTCGATCTTATGTATCTGCTTCCAACGAAGAAGAAAGAGCTCACCATTCTGGACAACGTCAGCGGGACCCTCAAACCTGGCCGGTAAGCCTCGAATGGTGCTATTCTCTATCTTCGGGAGTTATTGTAGGACCGGTTGTACGTTGGAAATGCCGCTCAGTTGACTTTACTAATTTGTTGTTGTTTGTGGACCAAATTTAGAATGACGTTACTCTTGGGGCCACCGGGCTCGGGCAAGACGACGTTGCTGCTGGCCCTCGCGGGGAAGCTTGACCGCAGCCTGAAGGTGAGCGGAAAAATCAGCTACAACGGCCACTCATTCAATGAGTTCGTGCCACAGAAAACGGCAGCTTATGTGAGCCAGAATGATCTCCACGTTGGTGAGCTCACAGTTCGTGAGACTTTGGACTTCTCCGCTCATGTCCAAGGAGTTGGCAATCAATACGGTAAGAACCCTCCCGAAATCTCTTATTGATTTCTTGAAATTTCAAGAACATGGACGGTGTAATTTGCTCGTAGATTCTATACACTAGTTCGAATTGCACAGAGCGCCTCTACCCGTTTGTGCAGAACGTTGCAGGACTGGATTAAGGGGTGCTGGTGGTGGGATGGTGCAGAAATTCTTGAGGAAGTCACGAAAAGGGAGAAGCAAGCCGGTATTAGGCCGGATGCTGATGTCGACACGTACATGAAAGTAAGTTACCGGCAATCACTGGTGATCAATAGACGCGCCCATCATTGGACATCGACACGATTTGAATTTTCTGACCTGGTGGTCAAATGGCCTCTGTTTTCTTGTGCGAAAACCCTGGATTAATCTGGTGAATTGGTTTGTTCCGCAGGCTACAGCGATTCCGGGAAGTAATGCGAACCTCTCAGTCGAGTACACTTTAAGGGTGTGTGTCTTCATCAAATCAATTCTGCAATTCCTCGTGTTTCTACGTGGTTGAACTAGTGATGGTTAAGACATTCTTTGAATGCAGTGGAACGTTGCCAAGCTTCTTGGTCGCCTGACAATGTGAGGGAGGATTAAATGCTATTGGCTTAATTCAAGTTCTTGTTCGAACATTGCGTGTAGATGCTTGGACTCGATATTTGTGCAGACACCGTTCTCGGCGATGAAATGCGGCGAGGCGTTTCGGGGGGTCAAAAGAAACGTGTTACCACAGGTGTGCTTGAAAGGCATTGGCTTAGAACTAATTCGAACTTTAAAATCCCGTTTTCTTTCTTCTTTTGCTGTCTTGGGAATCACTGCTCAATCGAGCATTCGCAAACCATATGTATTCCTGGTTCGTAGTTTCCTGATGAAGCCGAGTCTGCTTTGTTGGTCTTTCAGGTGAGATGATTGTCGGCCCTATGAAGGTGCTTTTCATGGACGAGATCTCGACTGGGTTGGATAGTTCGACAACCTTCAACATTGTGAAAAGTTTGCGCAGATTCACGCACGAGCTCTCCGCAACAGTATTAATCTCGTTGTTACAGCCAGCACCCGAGACCTTCAACCTCTTCGATGACGTGCTCTTACTCTCAGAGGGTCAAGTTGTCTACCATGGCCCTATTCAGCACGTTGCAGAATTTTTCGAGCAATGTGGGTTCAAGAGCCCAGATAGGAAGGGTATTGCTGATTTCTTGCAAGAGGTCACTTCCCGCAAGGATCAAGAGCAGTACTGGATGGACAAACGTAAACCTTATCGATACGTCCCCGTGAAGAGATTTGTGGAGGAATTTCAAAATTTCCGTGTCGGCGCTAACCTGAAAGAGGATCTTATGGTACCATACCCAAAAGATAAATGTCACCCGGCAGCCCTAAGCAAACAGAAATTCACAATCTCTAAACTCGAACTCTTTAAGGCTACATTCAACCGTGAATTACTCCTAATGAAACGAAATTCCATTGTCTTCTTTGTGAAGGGTTTCCAGGTATATATACCTCTGTACAGAACAATTGTACACTCTCTTGAATCCAATCATCTCAAACAGATCACTTCTAGTGCCGCATTCGTCATAGACCACTCTAGTTGGTGACTTCATTGAGTCCCATCTAAATGTTTTTACGTTGTTGTTTTGCAGGTCACGGTTGGAGCATTCATCTCCATGACCGTCTTCTTCCGGACCCGACTCAGCCAGAACTCAGTTCGCGAGGGAACTTTGTACCTAAACGCCCTTTTCTATGCAGTTATTGTCTTCATGTTCACAGGTTTTGGAGAGCTTGCATCCACTATCCAGCGCTTGCCGGTGCTCGTTCGGCAACGTGACATGCTCTTTGCGCCTGCGTGGACTTATTCCGTTTCTGTCATGGTGCTTAGCATTCCAGTCTCTATTTTTGAGGCCGGAATTTACACTTGCATGACATATTATGTGACTGGATACGCACCCGAAGCAAGCCGCTTCTTCAAGCACTTTCTGGCACTATTCTTGATCCAACAACAAGCAGGTGGCATGTTCCGATTCGTCGGGGGCGTGTGCAGAACAATTACTTTAGGATACACATTAGGCTGGATTCTGTTGCTCATCATTTTCATGCTTGGGGGGTTCATTATGCCTCGTCCGTCGCTTCCAGTGTGGTGGCGGTGGGGTTATTGGATTAGCAACTTGAGTTACTCGGTAAACGCAATCTCTGTGAACGAATTTACAGCTTCACGATGGGACAAGGTATGGTTCTTTCTTACAATAAGCATTGTGTCAACCTCGTACGGATCAGTCGTTTAGTTGCTTAGAACAGTGTTAGTTAATGCAAATTATTTACTGCTCGTAGTTCATATGTTTTGAACTGCCCGTGTACATTCTGATCATCTGGGCTTTTTCCTTCTGCAGCCAGCTTCACCAGGTAGTACGGACAGGCTGGGTGACGTTATTCTAAGAGCCTTTGGACAGCATGTGGAGGCCTATTGGTACTGGCTTGGTATTGGTGCTCTCCTGGGTTTCTATGTATTGTTCAACTTTGGGTTTACCCTTAGTCTTGGCTACATGCCAGCGTTGGGGAAACCTCAAGCAATCATGTCCGAAGAAGAGCTGGCAGAGAAAGAAGCAAACAGAACTGGCGTGAGCCTCAACCTAGCCAATTCTCGTAGCCGGTCACACAGGTCTGGTCCGTCTCGGCCACTGGCAGCTATTATGAGTGAGAGGAAAGGTGCTACAACAGCCAACAGTCGCAGCCGCCGATTATCACAGGATAAACACAGCGAGTCTGAAGAAGACACAGAGGCAGTTCCCGATGCTGGAGTTGTGAAGCGGGGAATGATTTTGCCTTTCCAGCCATTGTCAATTTCATTTGAGGATATCAGTTACTTCGTTGACATGCCGGCAGTAAGTGCTACACATTACTTGATCACATATCATTTCCGAGTGATTGTACGTGATTCTTACAATTAAATCAGTGGGGTTCTTAGTCTTGGCTGTCCCCTGATTCTTGATGGTTGTTTGTACAGGAAATGAGATCTGCCGAAGTGACAGAGACCAGACTCCAGCTACTCACTAAAATCACTGGTGCATTTCAACCAGGAGTGCTTACAGCTTTAGTAGGTGTTAGTGGAGCTGGGTAAGGTCCTTGGTCCCATTTATTTTGACTCATTTTCTATTTCCTCCATATTTTCTTGTAGCCTTGATCATTCAAACAAAATGTTGTGTGATTCATTAGCAAATCAGTATGCGGTCATTTGACTAATCTTTTCATGGACCGGTTGGAGCAGTAAAACGACGCTTATGGATGTTCTGGCTGGACGCAAAACGGGCGGATATATTGAGGGTGACATTCGGATATCTGGATATCCAAAGAAACAAGAAACATTTGCTCGGATCTCCGGGTATTGCGAGCAGACTGACATTCATTCTCCTCAAATTACAGTGCGAGAGTCCCTCATTTACTCTGCCTGGCTCCGGCTTGCATCTGAAGTCTCAGATGAGACTAAAATGGTAGGCAGTCTAGTGTACTCAGAAAAGAATTTGTGGGTAACTTTATTTTACGTGAATTCAATTCGCAATTTGAGAACATCACTGCAGCTGAATCAGTTCTGACACCTACTGTTGGTCAGGCTTTTGTGGAAGAAGTGTTGGAGCTAGTGGAATTGAAGCCATTGGAGAATGCCATAGTAGGATTGCCAGGCGTTACAGGGTTGTCAACAGAGCAAAGGAAAAGGCTCACGATAGCTGTGGAGTTGGTTGCTAACCCTTCCATCATTTTCATGGATGAGCCCACGAGTGGGCTGGATGCCCGAGCAGCTGCCATTGTGATGCGATGTGTTCGAAACACGGTGGACACAGGAAGAACGGTTGTGTGCACTATTCACCAACCGAGCATTGATATATTTGAAGCATTTGACGAGGTAAGATAATATGTTTGACCGTCAGGCGCAACCATGTGAGATGTTCATCATATTCTGGGACATGGTTTTCTATACTCAACATGCTTGTGTACTAGGACCCAGCTTTTGTATTGAGAAAAATTATGCGTCCCTGAAGGCGTGATTTCTGACAACGACTTACGCTCAATGCAGCTCTTGTTGTTGAAGCGAGGAGGTCAGGTCATTTATGCAGGCGAATTGGGTCATCATTCTCATAAACTTGTCGAGTATTTTGAGGTTAGCCCTTCTAGTGACATGTTCCCATAGTTTATGAGCAAGCAAAAACTGGAATCACCATGTTCACTGGATGGCCAGTTGGACTGGCATTCTTTGCCACGTTGAGAGTGGAAAGTGTGAGAGTTTTGATCAATTTTATGCTTACGAGTTTCAGTAGTTGCTCTTCTGAATTTCGATCACTTGTTGTGAGTTAGTTTAATATGTGTAGTGGTCTAAATTGTGATCCTATCCTTGTAAAGGCAATCCCTGGTGTCTCCAAAATCACGGAAGGATATAATCCTGCAACGTGGATGTTGGAAGTGTCCAATGTTGAAGAGGAAATGCAACTTGGAGTGGACTTCGCAGATATTTATCTGAAGTCTTCTCTTTACCAGTACGAAATTTCCAACTTCTCCTTTTGTTTGAATACAGAACTCAGCATTTTCATTCTCTGAAACAGTTGGTTGCACTCGTAGTTGTTCATCCTTTCAGTAGTTTCTGAGAATAGTAGGAAAATTAAGAGTGTTCTATCATTAACATTGCGAATGTTGCCCAATTACAGACGCAATAAAACCCTTGTTAACGAACTACATATACCATCCCCAGGCTCGGAGGACCTGAGTTTTCCTACTCAGTTCCCTCTAACGTTCTTTCAGCAGCTGTGGTGCATCCTCTGGAAGCAAAACTTGACCTATTGGAGAAGCCCAGATTACAACCTTGTCCGTGGAGGCTTCACATTCTTCACTGCACTCATCTGTGGAAGCATTTTCTGGGGTGTTGGGCAAAAGTAGTAAGATCCTAACCTTATGATCTATGTCCTAAAGTAGGAAAGAAGAGATTGTTTCGCATTCACACGACTATTCAGCTCTTCACTTGTCGAACGACAAGATGATATTTGCTAAACCTTTCTAATTCATGCTCGCCCTAAATGAGAGTTGTAATTATTAACAAGCTTGTGTATTGCAGTAAGACAAGTTCAGATCTAATTATCACTCTGGGAGCACTATACGGCTCGACCCTCTTCATATGCTTCAACAACGCTGGTACAGTGCAGGCCATGGTGAGTATTGAACGAACTGTCCACTACAGGGAGAAGGCCGCCGGGATGTACTCTGCCATACCGTACGCACTGGCTCAGGTATGTTCATCCTTTTCAAATTTGTACACATAATTCACCACTTGCCTCTCTCACCAACACCAATCTTTTCTTTGATCGGTAACACTGCCGTCACCAATACTTTTGCCAACAGTAAAACTTACATGGGATTGGTCTGTGAGTGGTTCAACAGGTGTTGATAGAATTTCCATATGTGCTAGTGCAAGCCACTATGTATGGCCTGATCACGTATGCAATGCTGCAATTCGAATGGACTGCAGCCAAGTTCTTTTGGTACTTTTACATCTTGTATATCAGCTTGCTCATCTACACTTTCTACGGTATGATGATGGTGGCTCTCACTCCGAACTTCATCCTGGCCTCCATTGTGAGCGCCTTCTTCTACACGCTCTTCAACCTTTTCACTGGATTCTTGATTCCACGACCGGTACGCAAAAAAATTCCAATGTCACTTAAGTCCTTTCGTGTTGAATTGTCGAGAACCTTCTTCATGATTGACTACAAATACTAACACACCTAAATTCTCTTTCATTCCAGGACATCCCTCCCTGGTGGATCTGGTATTACTGGTTCTGTCCCTTAGCCTGGACCATTTACGGCCTCGTCGCATCCCAGTTCGGTGACATCTCAGAAGAACTTTTTGTCGTCGGAGATACAGACCCTACAACAGTGAGCGATTATCTTCGCCACAACTTCGGATTCCGCCATGACTTTCTGTCGGCTGTTGGCCCCGTTCTCTTCCTCTGGATGCTACTTTTCGCAGGCGTTTTTATCTTAGCCATCAAGTTTCTCAACTTCCAGCGCCGGTAAGCTAGTGGCCTCTGGTGGATTCTGTCGGCACTGGAATGCCGTGTATGGTAAATGATGCGAGCGGAGTATCCCGAGTCTCTGCACTGAATAACAGAATTTTTATCTAGCCTGTCAAATGCCAAGTGCTGAGGTAGGACAATTACAGGAATATCATAGCTCCCACTGTAAAATCACAGTTCAGTCCATCTCAAGAACCACTTTACATCAAGAGTTAAAATCGAACAAACTGTGATGGTAAAAGGAAGTTCAACACGAAATTTTATGGACATCTAGTGTGTAATTTAATAACATTTTCAACTATATTCGGCAAAAGTTTGGTTTTTTCTGGAAAACTTTACATTTCTGGTGTATGATTGTATTGCACGTGCTTTGAGTGAAAATAAATAATCACAATTGATGCAATCTAAAAAATTCCTGGCGTGAAGTGGTTCCAAAGGCCGATGCATTGGTTATCACACAATTTTTTTGTTTTCCGCGTGCTGATGTCACCATGCTGACGGGCTACTTGTGTTAGCATCCTGATACAAAGTGGTTGTGTACAAAAATCATGTGAGGATGGTGCTTCAGAGGTACTTTATTCAACGACGATCTCACATAGATTCTTCTATGCTCTGTTGTTATTCGTAAAATTTGTGTCACATTCCCTTGTTTGATGTGGTTGAATGATGATGTCTATGATGTCCTTTCAATTGTGCATTAAATGATATGTTTCTTTAAATTGGTGTTATTCAAGATGCACGTAAGTTTGAATAAGTAAGGTTTCGAATAATTTTGAGTACATTTGGATTATTGCACAATCGCTGGAGGCTTAGGTTGTAAAAGCATCCACACACAAAATAAAACTACACGACTGTGGAATATAAATAGAATTGTACTCAGGTGCAGTGGTTGATCTACATTGAAGTTTTAAAATTCAACTTTGGGTAGCATTTAGAGATCATATTTGATACTGAGAAAGTTATCATTTTACCTCTCTTAAGATTTCCTTTACATCAAAAAAAAAAAAAAAAAAAAAAAAAAATCAAAAAAGAAGTTGACTTGCTAATAACTTTATTTCAAAATTGTCCATGATATCAAAAAGAGAAATAAGATCCCAACTACTACACTTAACCACAATAAGAAGTGTTGACCACGTTATAAAAGTTATTGGTTTCTTATACACTTTGACAAAAGAAAGGCAACTCCTTTGGTTGCATGTTTGTCTCCTGAAATAGGAATACTTATGATCTGAACAACATTTGTATCTTGTACTACATTTTTTGACAATAGGACATTTAGAAAGTTGGATATATTAGTGTAACCACATTAAAAAAAAAAAAAAAAAAAAAAAAAAACGAAAAGAAAAAAAGATGACCTATCTGTTTCTGTTGAATTATCATAATAAGTATGATTGAATGTTTCTTAATCAATAAATTAAGTGCATAACTTTGAACTCTTGCATGGAGAAATTTGAGCACATACTTAACACCAAAATACGAACAAATAGTCTTGACAATTGCTCGTAGATTCATAAACTTTACATAATTAAAAATAAAAAAATAAAAATCTGTAATTTTCTAATGAATAACTTCTAAACATCACAACTCCAACTGAGATTAAATATAAACAAATATAAAGCAAATCCATCACGTTTTACTAAAAAGTAACTGAAAGTCTCAGTAACCAAACGCTAATTCACAAGTGTCGACGCAACCACCTTTAAAGGACCCACTTTTACTTTTCAACCCGCCTCCACTTTTTAAAGCCCGTCCGACCTGGCGGTAGAACCTTCCACGGAACTGGTGGCACGGAGATCCAACCCCCCACCGAGATACACACAATCCCCGGGACCGGTAACCGCGGGGATGTGAAGCGCCTCGGAGCACGCGCCGCTAACGAAAGATCCGGGAGTGTGAAGATTTTGCGAAGGACCTGGAATGGAAGGAAGGCCCCAAATCTGATTAAAGTGGGAATAGGCCCCAGGACCAGATTTTCTGTAGCAGTAGTCATCCAGGCTGCTACGTCCGGCCAAATTCGAAGGTGGGTTCCGTGAGAAATGCGATGATGAAGAGGATGTGGTAGGTACTAGCACCATAACGAGACAGACGCAGCCATCCTGCCATACAAAACGAAGAGGTTTTTTCGATTCACTCACGGATTTGTGGACGAGCTCTGCCAAGTGTGTGGCATTGGGTTAGGGGAGTCCACCACGGCGCACACTACTGCCAAAGTTGGCACCTTGGGGTGACCCATAAGGCGTATCCCTGCCAAAAGTTGCTGTACCGGTGGAGGGAGACGATTTCCTTTTCCTGCTTCTACAACGACCAATGCAGATGGCTCCAGGTACCACGGCGGTTTACTAGCCCTGCAGGGGGGATGGGGGCGTAGACTGATGAGGGTGAGACCTTTTCCCAGAGTCGACGAAGAACCATGTTGACCTTCGGAGGTGCGGATTCGGCGTCCATGCTGTTGAGTTGCCTGCGCAGTTTCGTGAGGTGCGCTGAGTTATGGCGCTGGCATAGAACCCTTTTGCTCGCTCGACACCTCGATCTCCTCGGCGTTGCAACTATTATCTCCCCCTCCAAAAAATCCCTGACTTCAGAATGAGCTGGAATTGTGATAGTGCAGGTGACATGGGGATGGATGTTCAAGAAGTTGGATGTGCTAAGTTGAATGGATCGGTGGTTCGGCGTCTTGGACGGCGACCTGTCGCTACCCAAGATTTTAGTATGGCACACACTGTAGGTTGCTGCTCTCTGTTTCGTGGATAGCTTCGCAGGAACGGAAAGTTGAGAGAATGTTTTGACACACCAATCGCCCGGCGTTGGAATCTCGACACCGTAAGACATTTAAACTAGATTGCGACGATTGAGTTGCACCAGGCGATGACGTTCGGGTCGCTGGGCTCGCACTGTCTATCCACACGTCTGACTTTTTTCCCGCGAAGGGGTTAGGTGTGAAAATCTTTTTTGATAGCTACGAGCACTTAGACGAGTCTTTTAGACGACGTCTTTTCCTCAGTGCGTGTAGACGTCAATCATCCGGAATGTATTAAGAATCTCGTGTTCTCGGGCGTGAATGTTCTTAATTGCAGGAGTTGTGTCTTTATTCCGGTATCACATTACTACTTCAGCTTTGGCGAACTGTAAACTTCTCAGCTTGCAGGTTCGGACTAGTTCGTCATTGACCAGATGTATCTTTTAACTTAGCGCTGCAGCATTGGGTGAATGGTCTTTCTTACTCTTCTTGTGCGGTTGCATAAAATCGAATAAACTCCCATTTGATATAACTTTGGTTTCGTATTCAAGAAGATGTGAAGAGGAGCTGCGATTCGATAGTTTTAGTCACGTGCAGAATGGCAATTGCTGCTACGTTTTGTTCGCTGGCATTTCCGCCGTGATTCTCCAATTCTATTTCAATTTGGGGGCTGAGCTGCATAGCAGATGTTGACGCACACGCTTGGAGTCATTCAAATGGACATTGTGCAAATAACAAGCCCTTCCGCGAAACTGAACTTAGCTAAGTTAGGAATTTGGTTGTGAAGCTGGAATAGTTGCAGAGAAGGCTCGCCTAGCCTGTTAAAGTTGCCACGGTCATGAAAGTCGCAGACGAAGCTATGGAGAAAGATGACAAAATGGAGAAGGATCCGGAGCTGGGCGACGAGGGGCTCTGGAACATTGACCTGTCGAAGAACATGAGCACTCATGGTTCAAGACGAACCTCGCAATCGAGGTCACGGAGAGTGTCACGCGATCTGCTGAGCAACAGCCTTGGTCCCTCGGGTGGAGTTTCTTATGGCCTATTTGGTGGCACTGGTGGCAACCCGCTGGATTTATCGCTTCGGCAATCCAACAGGGACGAAGATGAAGACGCACTGCGATGGGCTGCCCTGGAGAAGCTCCCGACGTACCGACGCATCCGCACTTCCATACTCCAGAAGCACACAGGAAGCATACGTGAGGTAGATGTGAAGTATCTGTCAATGGCGGATTTCCACCACCTTCTGCAAACGTTGCATCGCCCAACAGATAACGAAGAGGAGCAGCTCCTGTCAAAGATGCGGAAGCGCTTAGACAGGTCTGTCAAATCAACAACAAAGCAATACTTGGCAGAATCGCATTCAAAGACGAGAATTCAGAATTTTTGGGGTGGAGTTAGTAATCCAACAAAACTGACTGCTGGATTCTCGTTACCTTTGCAGAGTTGGTCTGGAGCTCCCCACGATCGAGGTTCGTTACGAGAATTTGACAATCAAGGCGCAGTGCCACGTCGGAAGCAGAGGCCTGCCCACTCTTTGGAACACTTTTCTCAACGTTATGGAGGTGTTCATCCTCACTCTATTCTCTGCCTCATTTGCAATAAGGCCACGAATTACATTATATTATATTTGATGATATTTATTTTTTATACAGTTGTTAGGACTCCCGTTTAATTTTTGCAATTCGAACAGAGTGTTGCTGAGTTCGTGCACTTATCTACTTCGAAGAAGCAAGTGCTTACCATTTTGGACAATGTGAACGGTGTTATAAAACCTGGCAGGTAAGATCCAATGATCCTGCCATTTTAGACTTTGTCTGAGCTTGGCAATGTGGAATGTATCTGTGACGCAACGCCAGTAAACACGGTATGATTTCTGGCTATGGGAATGACCTTGTGGCACTTGGTGCAGGACGACGCTGCTTCTAGGGCCTCCTGGATCGGGGAAGACTACGCTCTTGCTGGCATTGGCTGGGGCACTAGACAGTAGCCTCAAGGTGAGAGCTCCGTAGAATCGCTGCTGCTGCTGCTGCTGCTTCATACCGTTCATTCTTCATTTGCTGTGCTTCGAAATTGGAAGTTGTCTGATGTAACAAGTCTGAATGCTCTTAAACTGCGTGGCTGAGTATTTTGCAGGTGCAAGGGAAGGTCACGTTCAATGGGCACACTCACAAGGAGTTTGTGGCACCGAAGACGGCTGCGTACGTAAGCCAACATGACTTGCATATCGGCGAATTGACAGTCCGGGAGACACTTCAATTTTCTTCTCACGTCCAGGGCGTTGGGTCGCAATATGGTAAATCCTCTTAGCCCCGATGGAAATAACTGTTGGTGAATTCCACACTGAAACGTGATATGAAGGGTACTAATCGCTGCCGTTGTGTCCTTTTTGCTGGTTGATGCAACTTTTCAGAAATACTCGAGGAGGTGACAAAGAGGGAGAAAGAGAGTGGGATTCGACCTGATCGCGATGTTGATACCTACATGAAGGCCACGGCAATGCCAGGACCCAAAGACAACCTTGGAGTGGAGTATATCCTGAGGAGCCTCGGGCTCGACGTCTGTGCCGACACAGTGGTCGGAGATGAAATGCGACGTGGTATTTCCGGTGGTCAGAAGAAGCGGGTTACAACAGGAGAGATGATTGTGGGTCCGTTGAAGGCGTTGTTCATGGACGAAATCTCTACAGGGTTGGACAGTTCGACGACGTACTCAATTGTTAAGACTTTGTGCAGGTTCACGCATGAGATGTCTGCCACTACCTTAATCTCTTTGCTGCAGCCGGCGCCTGAGACGTTCAATCTCTTCGATGATGTGCTCTTGCTTTCAGAGGGGCAGGTCATCTACCACGGTCCCATCAAGAATGTGATCGAGTTCTTTGAGGGTTGCGGGTTCAAGTGCCCGGAGAGAAAGGGCATTGCAGATTTTCTGCAGGAGGTCACATCACGCAAGGATCAGGAACAATACTGGGCAGACAATTACAAACCTTACCGTTACGTACCCGTCAGTTTTTTTGCAGAGGAGTTTCAGAGGTTTCATGTTGGGGTGAAACTAAAGGATGAACTGGCCATTCCGTTTCCGAAAGAGAAATCTCATCCTGCTGCCCTTGCGAAGCAAAAGTACGCAATCTCGAACAAAGAGCTCTTCTTAGCTACCTTCAGTAGGGAGCTGACTCTCAACAAGCGCAACAGCATCGTGTACATTATCAAAGCCATCCAGGTGAATTCGTGAACTACTTCTCCTGCTTGTCAATCAATTGACTTCAGCGTTAGATTTCGCAGAGCTTCGGAGTATGGTTGGGTAACGTATATCTGAGCCCTATTTTTTTTCCAGATTACGCTTGGCGCCTTCATTTCCATGACCACCTTCTTCCGCACACGGCTTGCAACAAACACAGTTGCTGATGGGGCTCTTTATTTCAACGCTCTTTTCTACGCAGTGATCACCTTCATGTTCACCGGGTTCGGGGAGCTTGCATCCACAATTGGTCGGCTTCCCGTGCTCATCAAACAACGAAACATGCTCTTCACCCCAGCATGGGCATACTCTCTCTCTGTCGCAGTGCTCAGCATTCCCGTGTCAATCTTGGAGGTTGGCATTTTCACTTGCATGTCCTACTTCGTGACGGGGTTCGCACCCCAGCCAGGCGCGTTCTTCAAATACTTCTTGATGTTGTTCTTGATCCAGCAGCAAGCAGGCGGCATGTTTCGATTCATTGGAGCCGTGTGCCGCACAATGACATTGGGCTTTACCCTCGGGTGGATCATCCTCCTGCTCCTGTTTATGCTCGGAGGATTCATCATTCCTCGTCCAGACATGCCAGTATGGTGGCGGTGGGGATACTGGATTTCTAACATGAGCTACGCTGTACAGGGGATTAGCTCCAACGAATTCACATCTTCTCGCTGGGACTCGGTACGCCTCCATTGAGCATCTTTGTCAATCCGGTGTGAAATACATTTTCATGGCCTCGAAGGCAATAATGTTCCTGTACGCAGTTGAACGACTCCTCTCATGAGCTCATGTCCAATTTTCTTTTCTATGCAGCAATACACTGGACCTGGTGGAGTCAACACCGTCGGCGCTAGAATTTTGCAGAGTCGCGGTCAATTTACACAATCGTACTGGTATTGGATTAGCATTGGCGCTCTCTTAGGGTTCTATGTGGTGTTCAACATTGGGTTTACCCTGGGGCTTCAGTACATGCCTGGTGAGTTGAAATCTTCTCCATAACCACAAAACAAGGTGTCCATTAGTGGATAATTTATTTCAAATACTTTCCCAATACCGTCCTATCAGTACTTTTTTTTTTTTTTTTTTTTTTTTTTTTGATATCAACAAACTCAGATAATCCATCGGGGAAATCTTCAGCTTATATTCACATCAAAATTGTGGCAAGTTTGATCATTGACGATCGGCTGATCCTTGTTTGTGGGGCTGTGCAGGTGTGGGCAAGCCTCAAGCTATCATGTCCGAGGAAGAGCTAGAAGAGAAGGAAACTAATCGTACTGGTGTAAGTCTACCGAAGTCGAAATCTCAGTCACGAAAAGTGGCATCTTTGTCGTCCAGAAGCTATGGGTCACAAACAAGTGGCCGCCCATCTGAATCCGATGTCGGAGATGTAGCCGTAGAAGTGAAGCGCGGAATGATCCTGCCATTTCAACCACTATCGATCTCCTTCGACGACGTTAGCTACTTCGTTGACATGCCTGCGGTAGGGCGCACCTCAAACCTTCTTCAACCCACAATTCTCCAACAATAGGCTTTCAATTTATATTATCCTTGACAACCTTGAAGGTAGATTCCTGAAAGCTTAGTTACAAATTTTCTAAACAAAAAGAAAGCATGCAGCACACGAGAATCATAGTCACCATGAGTAGTTGATCACGTTGTGTGGTATCATATACAATTGCAGGAAATGAAAACACCCGAAATGACAGAGACCAGGCTTCAGTTGCTCAATAAGATTACAGGGGCGTTCCGACCAGGTGTCCTTACGGCCTTGGTAGGAGTTAGTGGAGCTGGGTATGTTTCCACTTACCGCTTTCTTGGTTCTCATTGTAGCTCCAGATCTCATAATAATCTGCAGAGGCATGGTGAATTCCTTCAATCAACATCTTATGATCGTCCTCTTTTGTCGTCTTACACGTCTGTATTTCAATTTTCAGGAAGTCCACTCTCATGGACGTGCTAGCTGGGCGCAAGACAGGTGGCTACATTGAGGGTGACATTCGCATCTCTGGGCACCCAAAGGTCCAAGAGACCTTCGCTCGCATCTCAGGCTACTGTGAGCAGAACGACATCCACTCCCCACAAGTGACGATTCGGGAATCTCTAATCTACTCAGCTTGGCTTCGTTTATCAGCCGAAGTCGACGACGAAAGCAAAATGGTTAGTTGCCGTTTGGAAACACACTCTTTCCTTCACAGGAATGCTATTTCATCAAGTCACCATTGTGAATGTAGGAATGGAAGAAGCTTTCATGGTGTAATTCTTGGTAGCTTGGAATTCTTCATACATGTTTTATGATACAAGTATTGATGAGCTTCTGTTGTGCTACAGGTCTTTGTGGAGGAAGTGTTGGAGCTGGTGGAATTGAAGCCGCTGGAGAATGCCATTGTAGGTCTGCCGGGAATCACAGGTTTGTCAACGGAGCAAAGGAAGAGGCTGACAATTGCAGTGGAGTTGGTTGCCAATCCGTCCATTATTTTCATGGACGAGCCCACGAGTGGGTTGGATGCTCGAGCAGCTGCCATTGTGATGCGATGCGTTCGGAACACGGTGAATACAGGAAGAACGGTTGTGTGCACCATTCACCAACCGAGCATTGATATCTTCGAGGCCTTTGACGAGCTTCTGCTGTTAAAGCGGGGTGGTCAGGTCATCTACGCAGGCGAACTAGGCCAGCAGTCCAAGCATTTAGTTGAGTACTTTGAGGCCGTACCTGGAATTTCCAAAATCGCCGAGGGCTACAACCCTGCAACTTGGATGCTGGAGGTGACCAACTCGGACATGGAGCTTCAGTTGAACATGGACTTTGCGGAATATTATAGAAATTCTTATCTCTACAAGCGCAACAAAGACCTCGTGAAAGAGTTGAGCGTAGGAGCTCCTGGATCGAAGCCATTGGCATTTGAAACCCAGTATCCTCAGACCTCCTTTGAGCAGCTCAAGTGCATCCTTTGGAAGCAGAACTTAACGTATTGGCGCAGCCCCGATTACAATCTCGTCCGTTTCGCCTTTACTTTCTTCACGGCTCTTATCTGTGGAAGTATATTCTGGCAAGTTGGGCAGAAAACGTAAGCTTCTTCACGTTCACACTAAGTCCTTCGTGCGTATTGCTCATCGCTTTAACTCCTTGGGGTCCGAATGTCTCCAAAATGACCGTCAAGGTTTTTGGCCATCTCGGAGGGGAGCCGATGAGAGACGGTCAAATAGACAAGATCACACAATTAACTATATTCTTTTTAGGTCTAGAATTTATAATTCTCGATATCATTCGAATCAAGGGTAAACCCTTGTCTCTGGTTTCAAACCTTCTCTTCACTCACATTAGCTGCTTTTCACATTTGCAGAGGAAGGTCGACAGACTTGGTGATCACTTTGGGCGCTTTGTATGGTGCAACTTTGTTCATCTGCTTTAACAACGCAAGCACGGTTCAAACAATGGTAAGCATCGAGCGAACGGTGCATTACAGAGAAAAGGCAGCTGGAATGTACTCATCCATTCCTTATGCACTCTCGCAAGTGTTGATGGAAGTGCCCTACGTCCTAGTGCAAGCCACCATATACTGTCTCATCACATACTCCATGTTGGGCTTCGAATGGACCGCCTCCAAATTCTTCTGGTACTACTACATCACCATCATCAGTTTGCTGATGTTCACGTACTACGGCATGATGATGGTGGCCATCACTCCCAATGTCATCTTGGCTTCCATCGTCAGTGCTTTCTTCTCCACGCTGTTCAATCTCTACGCCGGATTCTTGATCCCACGACCGGTAAGCTCTTGGATCTCTGTCTTAGCTTGAAATGCACATGCGGTAATCTCTTATCTGTTATATCCTGAATCTCATGCATTAAGGACTGATCGTTACTCTGCGGTAGAATTCCAAACTACTGCTGGATGTGAAAGATGTCTGATGTCCTGGCCGTCTCCACATTGTTTTGCAGGCTATTCCTGGGTGGTGGATCTGGTACTACTGGGCTTGCCCATTGGCCTGGACTGTGTATGGCTTGATCGCTTCACAATTTGGAGACATCACCAGGGCATTAGTTATAGTTGGCGACGAGTCGAGAAACATCAACGTGAAAGACTACCTCGTGGAAACGTTTGGATTCGATCACGACTTCTTGCCTGTTGTCGGTCCCATGATCTTCATTTGGATGCTTCTGTTCGGAGCGATCTACATCTGTGCAATCAAGTTCCTCAATTTCCAGCGCCGGTGATCGGCGGGATTCTTTTGTTCAATCAACCCCTCTTTCAAGCAACCTCCAAGTTTCGAAGTCTGATTCAGCGTCGGCACATGAATCCCGAGCTTTTCTGCTTTCATTGCACAGCATTGGTTCCCACCGAAACTTACACGACGGTGCTCGCAACTCGTAGTTTTTACTATCTCCTTGATACAATTTGATTTGTGGGTTCAGTGGATTTTCATTCATAAGGCGATGAGAGGATGCTGCAAAAGCATCGTGAAGGATTCTACATATCTTGTAACATTAACACCATTTCAAATTCAATTCACTCGCTGGTCGTTCCGCGAACCAGGTTGCCTCGTTTGTTGCTCCCTCGGTACTGTCATTGGTTTTCTATTATGAAATCGTACCTCATTTTATGCTATGCTATAGCTTTTCTATTGTTTCTCCAGCTAGTCTAGGTATGGATCTTACAGCTCATGCACTTTTCTTCATACCAATCAGTGGAGAGCTTCCACATCCCTAACATACTGACACAGATTCACAACTGCAGCTAGCAGTGTCACTTATTAATGAATTTTTTTATAATATAATTCCGATTTTGAAACACATGTATACAATGTTTTTTGGCATGTAGTTGTATTGTTTGAGTCACAATTATGTACTCATTGCTACCACGTTGAATCATAAAATGCAGTGCTGAATGAAGTTGACAAGTATTAATGATTATCAATTTTAGTTATTATTTAATATATTAATAATCTTTGAGATGGTTAAAAAAATTATAGAAACTCATAAATTAACTTACTGAATGAAAAAAATATTTCTTATTTAAAATATATATTTTTATATATAAATTCTTTCAAACTAATTGATTTAACTAAAGGTTATATAAATGTCAAAAATATAATTTAATTCTATAAATACTAAACAAGGCTATAATAAATAAGTCTCAATATTCAGAATATTAGAATATATTTTTATCCTTATTAGAATATTATTTAACATAATAAGGATAAAAATATATAAAAATAAATAAATAAATAAAATAAGAGATGTCTATTATTGCTTCTTCAAAAACTTCTGTGGGATTTTATTTATTTATTTATTTATTTATTTATTTTCTATTATCAAGATTTTTCCTATTTTTCTTTTTTATTTTCTTTTTTAATTTTAGCAATATAAATATTTAACATTTGATTGTTACTACATTGAATTCAATCTTACTTATAGGAATAAAGACTAGAATTAAGGTTTTTTAGAAATTAGGATTATCACAATTGTGACTATCCTATATGTTTTATAAACAATAGAATAAATTACATATTACGTGTAGATTTACTTTAGAATCTAGCAAATCCTCTTACAATTTCAAAAACATGGGATACATGCAACATCTTAAGTTTTCTACTCAAAGGCATAGAAAGAAAGCAAAATGAATCTATTATAGATGGGGATTTGACAATCTTAAATAACCAAGTTGATGAATGTCTAATAAATATTGATCCACACAATACAAGTAAAGATTCATTGAAGCTAATATTATATTCTCTATGTCTTCATCCAATTCTTTTTCATCATTTTTGATATTCAAGTCAAAATCATCTTTTTGTCTTAAAAGATTTATGTCTTCAACAAGGTCGTCTATATTTATTTTCATTTATCTTTGTTTGAATATCTTCACTTCCTTCTCTACAATTGATATTTGTAACCTTGTTCCATTTAGTTCTTGTAGTGAATAAGTTGCATTATCATGAATAGTTGTTACTACATATGGTCCAAACCATCATTTAGAAAACTTCCTTAAAGTACTATGTTGATTGTCCAAGCTATTATCATAGACCAAAACCCAATCACTTTCTTCAATTGCCTTAGGTATCAATTGATGTTGCTTATTAAACCGTGCCTTATTTTGTAATCTTGCTCTTTTTAATCTTTCTAATGGTATTTGCACATGTTGTGGTTTTTGCTCAAGTTGTTGAATTCTAATAGCTAAAATTTCCTCTCTTGTCAATTCATCTTCCCATAGTAGAATACCCCAAGTAAGTACTTTTTCTTCAATTGGCATAATAGGTTTTTGACCTATCATAAGCGCAATGGCATATAGCTTATTATTGAATTATAAGTTATTTGATTAGTCCACAATATAAATAACAAAAGTCGAGGCCATTCTCTAACCTTCCTATTATAAGCTTTATTTAATGCTTTTATAATTGGTAGATGACCACATTTACTTTTTGCATTTCCTTTAGGATTATAAGCAATAATCAATGATAACTTAATTCCACATCTTTCAAAGAAATCAAGAATCTCTTGTGTATTTAATTCTCCACAATTTGTAGTGATTTAGCTTACATATTTATAGCAGCAAATAACATTTTTAAGTAAAATTCTACAAATTCCTTCTATAAACTTTATTCTCAATACTCTACCTTTTACTTAGTTTGATAAATCTTCATAAACCAAGACTAAATATCTCATTTTCCATAATCCAATTGGCATAATAACCAAATCAAAAATCCATTTAAAATGAATAGTTAAAGGATTTGTTGGATGTAAGCCATCTCAATATCATATATTAGAATATAGTTGATAAGTTTTACATGATTCTACAAATAAAAACATATCTCAATACATATTTTTCTACCAATATTGTTTTTAAAGTTAAAAAAAATTAATCCAAATTTTCCTATATCCTATTTATAAACTATTATAAAACCCCTTTAATAATTTTTATTGCTCTTCCTTATTGCCTATCAATTATTGTGGCATTCCAATCCTTTTTTTTGGTTTCTACAAAAAAAATCCTTATTGAAGCAAAAATCTATATATATATTTTTTATTTCTTTAAATTTTTTTTTAAACCAATATTTTTGTTTAGTTAGGATATTCAAATAATAACTAATATTCAATAATTCTCCTTCACAAAGTTCTTCAAAAAAGAAACTTGTCTTTCTTGCTAAAATTTGGTATTGAATAGAATTTTGACCCTACATCATTAATGTCTTCAACCATCTCATCTTTTCTTTCATATCTCGCTTAACACAATATGTTTGCTATCAAATTTTTCTTTCCAATAACATGCCTAAATTTTGGATTCAATAATTTAATATAAAAAATCCATCTTAGCATTGCAATATGTGGTGTTGAATAATTAATAATTAATTTAAGAAATACTAAGCAATTTGTTTCAATTACTACTATTACACCAATCAAATAATCTTATTTAGCTTTTATAGCCAAAAAAACCTCCATAATTCTCTTTTGACTTATGAATATGCACGTTGATAAATACTTAAAACTTTAGCTCCAAATTGAATTGCAAATCTATTTCCACCTTAATCATCTTGATCCACAACCACCTAATAGTAATATGACTAGTATCTATAGTAAGTATTACTTGTCTATTATACTCATAATCAATTCTTCTAAAAATTGGAGGTATCAATAATAATACTTTTAGCTTTTACATTATTTCAGTATGCTTTTTTTTTTCCTATTTATGTAATAGTTCATACAATGGATTTGATATATAAGCATAATGAGGAATCTATATATGATAAAAATACACAAGCTTCTAAAAACCTAGGAACTTCTGTTAAGAAATCACATGTATCCTTTATCCTTCCAATCACATCAACTTTGCTTAGATCTGATTTTCTCCCATAAAATCCACACAAATGTCCAATAATGACAACTTTTTGTATTCCAAATGTAGATTTTGCTTCCAAAAGTGTAAGATGAACTTCTTCAAGTTGAGATAAAATCTTTTTATAATCTTATATATGATCAATAATATACTTGCGACACCCCTTCTTATCTAAAGACTTTTTTTTTTTTCTTTATTTCTTTTGATAGGAACATTATTTAAAAAAAGGAATAGTTTTTTTAAGAAATAAGTCTCTCAATCCCTTGTTCATCTCATTCATCATATGTGCAACTGAGTTTATAGCACCTTGTAGAAGAGTATACATTTTAAGCAATTCAAATAGCATCTTCATTATTATTAGATATCTACTCTCATTTTTAAATTAAAATTGATTATAACTCAAATATAAATCATTTATTTAATAAATTACCCTTTTTACAAATGCTTCACTAAATTCATCTATTAAAGATCTTCTACCTACTTTTTTTTAATAATTATTGCATTCACTGGCTATATATCTTGAATAAAATATAATGATCCATTTTTTTTAAGCATCCTAAACCAACAACTAGAATATAGAGCAAAAGAAGGTTTAAAATTTTTTATTTGTATCTTTCTTTCAATTATTCTACCAATTTAGGCAAGTGTGTCATTGGCATAAGAATTGGCCTCAAGTTCCAAGATACATGTGATATTGTAAAGATAACTATAGGAGCAATAATATTAGGTACTTATAAAGACAATCATAGGAACAATAATTTTTGGTACTTGAAAAGATTCAAGTATAGAATAAACCTCCTTTGAATGAATTTCTTCAATCTTAACATCATCTCTTAATCCAATAGACATAATTAATTCCAAAGAATCTTCCAATCTATTTTCTTCATAAATACCTAAAATCTTTTTATCATCTTTTAATATTCCTAATATATATAATTTTTTTCCAATATCATATATTCTTTTTGTTTTTGTTTTTTTTACAAATTCTCAACTTTCTTATATATAATACTTCTATTTTTAAAAATTCAAATAAAACTTACATCAACAGCATCTATATCTTGTAAGAGTACATTTTTTTTTGTACCTCTATAATTCCACTTTACAATGGTACTTTCTCAAAATCCTTAAATTCCTTAACAACTCTTGAAAATGGCTTTTCCTTCAACCTATCTTGGTTTTGTTCATAATTAGGAGGTATAATTAGAAATTGTATCACTTTCTTTCTATCCTCACTACGTATTCATGCATAGACTAAACTATTATCAAGGACTTTTCTTTCCATCTATATTGTCATAATATAAGATTTTCTTTAAATCATTAGATAAGATGTTGTATCTTGAATAAAAAAATGGTGCTTTATTGCAACATCTTCAATCTAGATTTT